TCGGCGGCCCGAGCGGCACGGGCAGGGGGCGCAGCCCGTGGGGCGGCACGCCAGGTCGCTCGTGGAGCGGGCCGAGGCAAGGGAGCAAGTTTACCAGGTGAGTTTTATCAACTTGGTCGTCTGGTTCATTTGACAGTTATGTATCTGATCTTCCAAACACTCGAAAACTCACAGAAATAAGTAAAGCTACAGTCCGTCTAACGACGAAATCCTTGACAGTGATAGGATGATATCTTATCTCCTGACACATTACAGCTAGATATGCAATATTTACTTATTTCTTTGAGGTTGAAACGAAGATAGCGTTGTCGTTCTGCCTTACATTACAAAACTTTAGGAATAAACGATCGCTACCATATTACTAGAATATGAAAAGAAGAGTATTAAGAAAGGTTAAAGATTATCCGCCAAATTTTTTTGTCTGCAAATTTTCTTTTTATATTAAAGGGCAACACTATCTTCGTTTTTCGTTGATTTACCGAAATATTCCCTACTCAAACATTTAAATCCCCAAATTCTCCTTATTCCAGGCCATAATATCGGGGTGATGGCCTAGAACACCTACATCCAAGTTTTCCTTTGTCCTGTTTGTTCCATTGAGCTGTTTGGTGATGTTGTTGGTTGTTGTTGTTGATGAGTACGTTATTAGACCAAACTTTGTTCCCTCATGCATTATAACCTTTATTATTGGTTGATAAAAACGAACATTATAGATTATAATGCACGAATTTCATTATTTAAAGTGAACATAGGATATAAGAAAGCAATTGTATATAGGTTGAAAATCTTATGTTCACCACTAAAATAAAAGCGCTATAATTAGTACACGAATTTTATTAGTTTCTCTTTATTAATTGACCCTGAATCGTTTTATTTTGCAAGTGAACATAGGTCCATTATAAACGAACATAAGATATCAATCCTGTGTTTATATTAAATTAAAAGTAACCTATTATCCGACACATCTTGGCTAATGTTTATTTGTTTTGTATTTTAGAAGTTAACTAGGTCCATCATAAAAGTGCACATAAGTTACGAATCTTATGTTCTGAGTTAAAAGTATCGTATTAACGTATTTTTTTAGTATATGAATTTCGCTAGTTTCTGCCGCCTGCTTTCATTTTATAAATGAACATATATCAGTGTTTAAAAAAATCAAATAATTTATTAATAATACACCTTGGCTACATTTAGTCTACAAATCAATTTTTTATATTTTAATCGAACATAAGTTATAGATCCTATCTTCACAGTTCAAATAAAATTATAAAATTAATCAGTTTGAAATTCGCTAGTCTCGGTCGAGAAATCAACTCGTTTCATTTTATAACAGAACATGAGTTATTGTAAATCAAAACAAATATTATTATAAATCCAATTTATAAAATATGTTCGCATTATTATCCTTACAAGTAAAATAAATATCGTCCAATATATTAAATGTGCTTGTTTATATACCTCTGTAAGTAATAACATGACTTGTTTCAAAAAGTGAACATAAGTTAAAGATTCTTTTTTTAAAGATAAAATAATATAACACAGTATATGATTTTTTTAAGGATATATCAATATGTGTCATTTACGAAGTGAACATAGGTCTATCCTATATATAAAAGAACATATGTTTACATTTAAAATTACTGTATCGACTTGTATCATCTTATACTGGTTTCATTTTACAAATGAACATTAGTTCTTCCTACAAGTGAAAATAAGTTAAAATGCTATTTTTACATTTGAAAGAAAGTAACGTATTAATCAGGATGAATTTTACTACTGTATGTTGACATGTTTCTTTTTATAATTGAAAATATCACTAATCTAAGTCATCCTATGTTCACAAGTACATATATTTAAATCTACTGTACCTTTGAGTATATAAAATGTGCTTGTTTTTATTTATTATTGAATCCATACTTCCATCTTGTTATTCAACACGGATTGTTTCAAAAAATAAATTATAAATTCTATTTTCACTACATTTACTAGTAACATAGGTCTATTCTAACAGGGAGACAATAAATGTTAACAAATAAAATAAAACTACTGTATCGGCCAGTGTATGAATTGCGCTTGTTTCTATTTACTATGGTTTTTATACTGGTTTCATTTTATAAGAGAACATGATTAATTTCGAAAGGTGAACATAGTAATAAGGCAACGCATTAATCAGCATATAAGGTTTACCTGTCGGCATATGTTGAAGTGACGTTGGCCTATTCGGCCTATGCTAAATAAAAAAAATTCACATGTTCTTTATTAAAATAAAACTATTGTATCTTTTATTAAATAATAAACGCATTAATCACTATATGAATTTTGCTAGTACGTGTCAACTTTTATTCATTTATTAAGTGAATGTAGCCGTATTTTAAAAGAGAACATAACTAATCCTATGTGCAAAATTAAATGAGAACTATATCGTCCACTATATTGAACTTGTTTGTTTCTTTTGATTAATTATCGCTTGTTTAGCAGGTAAACGGAAGTTTGACGGAGGTCACCAGAACCAGGGGGAGACGAAGCGGCGCTTCCAGAGCCAGGGCGGCGCCGGCGGTCACCAGGGCGGTTGGGGCGGCATGCCCCTCGCTCAGCAGCCCCTCGACGCCAACGGCGACGAGTGGTACCAGGACTCGTACGGCGCCTGGAGTTAGAGTCGCCGGCCGCCAAGCGGCGGGACACTACCACCACCACCATCAACGTCATCAACATCGTCTGCGTTCGTTTCTGATCAATAATTTCACCATTTTAATTCGAATCAGGTTGGCTGGTTTATCGGAAAAAGGAAGGTTTATCTGGAAACGTTTTTGTTTATTACATCCAACACTACAGAACAATACACTGTTCATCATTCTAAAAGGAAACGAACATAGGTCATAAATTCAAATGCACACTTTCAAAAACGTGGTTTAAGTATATATTTTCACCTCTTAGAATAACTCATACATTTTTGCCGTAAATCTATACCTTTTTCGTAATACACCAGCCAATTATTCGACAATTTTAACTCCTTTTTTGTATTTAATTTTCGTATTCGTCTTTCGCCAATAACTGATGATAATTTTCGTCCTTTTTTGTATCTCGAAAAAGAGAGTTTTTTTCGGTAATTTTAGTCCGGGTTTTGAAAAATGAAATGAAAAAAAAAACGGATGTTGAAATGAAAATTCCAAAAAAAATCTGTTATTACTTGTGTTTTTATTAATTTTGTCTGTAATTGTAACAAAAAATGATTAAATCGTACTAGCGAGTTTTTAAGATTTTTTTTAAAGAGGTCTGGCAGTAGCAGATCAAAAATGTGCGGAATGATAAGTCAATCTGACCGTTTAGTAATAATTGAAAGCGTGGTTAAAGCAAACTTATTTTGGAATAGGCCGGAAAAATTATTTTTTGAAATCAGAAATTGTACTATTTTACTGAAATCATCCATCCACACTATTTTGATCTGATACCGCTAGACTACAATGTTGTTTTAAGTTTGCGTCTTTATTTTTATCGTTGTATTTCGAGTCGTCAGCGTAGGCATGTATGCGGTGAAACCCCGATACCTGGCTACTGCGACGCTTGTTTTTATTATTAAATACTTTTTTCAAAAAAAAGTAGGCCTTTAAGCTGCTTTCTTCTTCTAGCCTCTGGAAATGTTTGGTTTTTGACTCGTGCTTGTTTAAAAATTGATGCGAAATTTTTATTGACCCGTCGTTTGATGTTTTTTTTTAATTGTTAAGTTTGAAAGCGTGATTGGAGGTAGAAAGAAGAGGGTTGTTTTGAGGTTATATAGATAGAGAGAGAGATAGAAAAACGAACTTTTATCACACGCGGTTGGACCGAATCACAACTAAGTGCGAAGTGACATATTTTTTTTAATTTGTATAATAATAATATTGTATTTTATCATTATTTTTTTGGTGATGCACTGGTTGCATTGTGATGTATTTTAGCGATAATATTAAGGAAACAATCGACTTAACTAACCATACTTCTGTTTGAAATTTTATTGTTCTTGTTAATCTGATTCGTAACACAACACCCCTCCCCCCGTTTGATTTACACGAAATGCCTCCGTTCAAAAAAAAACTAATATAAGTAAAATGGAAAAAAAGAAAACACGTAGCCCGGCAGTTGACAGAAACAACACCAGAGATTGCAATCTTAGTTACTATTTTGTTTCTTTTTTTTTTCGTGGTATTTTATTTGTCCGTCTTATTCGCTTATTTTTTTCTTTGTTCTTATTTTATTCTTCTTGGTATAATTACACATATTGACACGCACTTGACGGACCTTTTTGTTCTTTCCTGTGTGATTGTGCATCTATAGCTAATAATAATTATAACGAATCTGAAAAATGAAAAAAAAGAAAACTAAATAGAATTGTACGCCCCTTTCATAATTTTCTGTTTGTGTAACACAATTGTTTTGTTCTTTCCTAATTTTTATTTTGCAATTTTACTATTCGTATTTACTACATACTATTACTACAACTATCACCGACACCATACTTCTGTGACGAATTGGAGGCGTAGGTCATACTTTACGCCCCATTTTTTAGATATGTCTGTATTTTATTGGTAATTTTTTGGGTCGGGGTCTGCGCATTGCCGGCCTAACCCCCCATGTTGTTGTTCGATATTGTCGTATCGATAATTGACAAATGGACTGATGATATAAATATGTCTCAATAAACAGTTGTATGTGTATTACAATTTTAAATCATGTGTTTTATTTCTATTCCTTTTCTTCTTTCAGGTCCCCTTTTTTAAGAAATGTGAAGAAGTGTTTCAACACCCTGTGAATGCTAAAAAAACCCAGTTAATAATTCTACTTAAAACGCGATTTGTTTATCGACATCTACACATCAAATTTGAAATTTTTAGTGTGAACAGTTGAAAAACCAGACCATTTCGCAATACCAGACCATTTCGCAAAATTGCCGTGTCTTCCTGAAATAGAAATAAATAATGCAATAAAGTGGATATTGTATACCGGGTGGTGCATCATCGTTGGAAACAAAGGAAATCCCATGCAATTTTTGAACTGTTCAAATATTAGTTCCCCTATTGAGTTTACAGCGAAGTCGTAAACATATTTTTTAAAGGTTTATGTATGTTAAATACAAAGGCCAGATTTGAACAATTTTTGACCAGACGATTTTGAGTAATTTAATAAAGTCTGCATTTATTGTTATATTAAAACCGAACAGGTAACAATCAAACAGCAGTCAAAAACCGCCATACCTTGTAGGTTTGCAAACTATGATTTTGTCATTGTCTAAAGTAATTTAATTTTAATTGATTTTAATATTCAACGGAAATTAACCAACACATGTCAGATACACTGTCTAAGCTGTTTCCTGGCGTAGTACCATTTTATCATGTTCATTTTTTTCTTTATGTGTACAACAATAAATTATTACTAGTACTGAATATTAAAATGTTATTAAAATTAAGTTTTATTAAGGTTTGTTATAAATTAAAGTTTGAAAATGACGATGACAACTTAAGGTATGTCGGTTTAAAAATAGATGCAGTTTTTCTCAAATTACTCAAAATCGGCTTATCCAAAATTGTTCAAATTTGGCATGTGTTTAAAAAACGAAGAATTTTAAAAAATCTATTTATGACTTCGCTATAAAATCAATAGGGGAGACAATATTTAAACATTTCATAATTTGCATGGGATTTTCTGTTTTCCCCGACGGTGCACCACCCGGTATAGTTCTATACAGCGGCGTGCGGTGACAATTATAGGCGGGGAAGCGAATCGGTAAAAAACCCTATTTCGAGACTTTAGTTTTACATTTCCTTAAAAAACTTACCTTTGAAAATTCCGAGGCCAATTCGATTGTTCGATTAAAATTCTATCGAAAATTGTTAAACAAACAAAAATACATAAAGTTATAATAGTTAAAATACGATATTTTAAATTAATTTTCCGAAGCACTTGACGCGCGATAGGCACCTATTTGTATGATCTATCATCTATAACATCATCATAAAATTTCGGATTTTCCGTTAATTGTTAGGCCTACCTTAATAATGTCACTTTTTTCTTGGAAGTTCCGACTAGAAAATCCCTTTTTTAATATCACACATACAACACAAACACAGTCTAAATTATTGTCCACACTAGCAGAAGCAGAAGATTGTCCTTCTTGACCCTCCATTACAAGCGAAACCATTAAACACTAAGTTAAATTCGAAAAAAATACAATATTACCTATAAAATCGCAAGCGAACCCGTTCCGATAAATTAAAAGTCGCGGAAGGCGGCCGAAAGATCGCTGCCGTGGCTAGCATCTGTGCGCGATTTTCCGGCTTAAATTTGTCGTTTGTGTTCGAGGCCAATAATACCTACATGAAGGAGGGATAGGCGACTGGCGGCAATTTTCAGGCGCGCATCCATGCATTAAAAGGCTAATTAAATTTACTACGTTTATGTAAGGTTTCAAATAAATAATTTTAACAAATTAAATTAATCTTTTGTTATAAAATAACAGTATTATTAACGTTTAACTATTTTTTTTTATCTTTAAAAAGTTTAGGGAAGCGGTGCTTCCCCCGCTTCCATGGACCGCACGCCGCTGGTTCTATAAGATATACTATGTGACAGAAATTGCAACACCTAGTAAATGTAAATATGTTTTATTAACATTTTGGGAAGTAGTTGGGATAAATATGAATAATACTCATTTTAACATTTTGACATCGTATAAAAGATGCCTGAAGTTTCTCGTTTTTTTTTACTTATAGTGTGCGCGGTTGGGGTCGCCGTGAATCACTTTTGTATACATTGGCAATAAGTACTAAATGTTTTAGTGCTTGAATAAGCAACAATAATGTCACGAAACGTCACACAAAATTATATTTAAATGTAATGTTTTCTTTGAGCCTTCCCAAACCCACGAATTTTTTCTACATACTAATTACTATATATAATATATATATATATATATATATATATATATATATATATATATATATATACTATATATATATATATATATATATATATAATTATTACTCGTATATACAGGCAACAAATTTCTATATCAGACAGTATATACAGGGGTGTCCCCAGGCTGAGCGTGCATTAGAAGTTTCTAGAGAACCACAATACCTTAAAAAACCTTAAAAACGTTTTTTCAAATTTTCAATTTAAAAAATGATTTATGATAATTTTTTAATCGCCCAATTCCATGACACTTGCGGCCATTATTATATGACATTCGAACAATTTAATTTTTGAAATAGATAGCTACATATCTTCTCTTTATGTCACAGTGGCTGTGGTCATCACTAATCTTGACTTTGGGCTATACAAATTTTTTTGACAGGCAGTTTTTTTCGTCCAAAAATTTTAAATATTTTTTTCTCAAAAACGGTTAATGTTAAGTATAGAGTGCTTAACATCAAAATTCATAAAATTTTACAGAGAATTTAAGTATGTAATAAAAAATGGGGGCACTCATTTAAAATAAGGAAGTTGCTGCCAACTTCCGGTATTTCCGGAAGTGCCGCCATATTGAAAATATTTTTAATCGATAGATCTCGTTGTAAAACAATGATGCGCCAAAAATTTCCGATCTAGATATTGTAGTTCTCTAGAAACCTCTAATGCACGCTCAGTCTGGGACACCCTGTATATAGGTATATATCCACTAAATCATTTACAGCTTGTAAATGAATAAAATTAAAAAAAACATTCTCAATAAAGATGATTTCCCAAATTGTATTTAAAACTATTTGAAATCATTCTGTTTTACTTTAGTTATTCTAATAAATGTAATTTACTTTCTAATAAATGGTATTTACCTATTGATTTTATTGTGGAATATAATTTTAATATTTCAACCAAAAATGAAAAAAATGTTTTGTTATTCAAGAAGGTATTTGTCCTTTGTCTAGATTTCAACAGGGGCTTTTTTGTATTTAATTTTAATTACTTTATTTCGTTATAGAATCACATATATTACATCTGAAATATAGATGATTAACTTAATTAATACAAGGGGAGAACTAAAATTAGTAATGAATAAAACATAACTATGAGGGTTTGTTTTTTTCAGTAGTGTAACCCCTCGGAACCGTATCCATTCGTAGAAACGACAACGATTGGGGAAAGAGTCATCCCTTCGCCAAACTACCACTTCATTTCACCCTCCCTATAATCTCGTAGAATGGTACGCGAGGGGAGTAGGAATTGGGTCAAATGGAGACAGCCCCCCGTATAGAATAACCTATATATACGTGTGCTGTGTTGACTGTTTTGTTTTCACCCTGTTTATTGTGTTTTCGTTTTGTAGGGAGTCGCAAAAGAGCAGAAATCGCAATAAATAGTAGGGAAAATTCAGTTCTCTATCAAAATTAAAATTTTAACATAAAAATACCTTTTAGTTACTTAAGGCGAGTTCTCACAGGTCACTTTTAGTGAATCAGTTTTCATGAATCATTTTTTATGAACCTGCCTTGCGTTCATATTGTCTCATAAAATATGATCATTTTAAAACTGTCAACTTATGTTTCAGTCTCTAAAAACCTATTCATTTTCTATGACTTGTTCTCATAGTATGTTCTCATTGGTAATTTTTAGTGACTCAGTTTTCATGAATCATAAAAAGTGACTATTTAATGAACGTCAAGGCGAGTTCTCACTGGTCACTTTTAGTGAATCAGTTTTCATGAATCATTTTTTATGAACCTGCCTTGCGTTCATATTGTCTCATAAAATATGATCATTTTAAAACTGTCAACTTATGTTTCAGTCTCTAAAAACCTATTCATTTTCTATGACTTATTTTCATAGTATGTTCTCATTGGTAATTTTTAGTGACTCAGTTTTCATGAATCATAAAAAGTGACTATTTAATGAACGTCAAGGTGAGTTCTCACTGGTCACTTTTAGTGAATCAGTTTTCATGAATCATTTTTTATGAACCTGCCTTGCGTTCATATTGTCTCATAAAATATGATCATTTAAAACTGTCAACTTATGTTTCAGTCTCTAAAAAAACTCTTATTCATTTTCTATAACTTGTTTGCTAGTATGTTCTCATTGGTAATTTTAGTGGCTCAGTTTTCTTGAATCATAAAAAGTGGTCTATTTAATGA